CTTCCTCTTCCGCTCGGCAGCGCTGTCCGCTGAAAAGGTAACACCAATTAATAAAATGTGCATGGGAAAGCCGAAGGAAGTACATTTCTACTCCATTTTAGTACCAACCTGAGTTATCGAATGCCCCATTGCTGGTGGAGTCGTTGCTGTTCTGGTTGTTAAAGAACGAAGCGAATCCTTTGTTGCCTCCGGCACTGCCCATTAGCTCCTGGATGGTCTGGGTAAGGTCAAACCGCGGCTCACGTCCTTCCTCCCTGATGGTTTCCAATCCTTGCTGTCGGTCGAACAGTGATGGAATTCTGGGTTGCTCGTGATCCTGGTTTAGCGAGTTTCGACTGTTAGATGTGTCGAAGGGGTTCACGTGTGTGCGTTCCCGGCTGCTCCTCTGCGAAGGCTGTTCTCGTTGATCTCTCTGACCGCCTCGATCATTGCGCCGGCGTTCATAGCTGCGACTGCGTGAGCGTCGTCGACGACTACGGTCATAATCATCGCGGCCACCCCGCGAGCTACTGCGCCTGGAGCGGGAGTCGCGATCTCTGTCCCGCTTCCGGTCCCGATCCCTGCTGCGCGATCGCTTCCTACGTCTGTCCCCGTCGTCGTAATTGCGCGACTTGCTGCGATGCGAGCGGGAATCCCGGTCGCGGTCGCGTTCTCGGTCACGATCACGGTCGCCGCGTTCGTCTCGACGGCGACTGTCGCGGTCCCTGCTGTCTCTGTCCCTGCAAAGTTGAGAGGAGGTTATTATGTGCCACAGATAAGTATGCTATGATGTAGGTCGAAAAAACCAAAGTCATAAAGCACTAAAAGTCGCGTGGCTCTGATCCTGCAACCTATTTTTTTTATATAAGAACATAGTACAAAAATGTGTACACCGGAAGAGGGGGTGAAATGGGTAGAAGGTAAAAAAGCAGGGGTATCAAAATAGTTCTCCTTGCATAACACGCACCTCTTCTTCCTGTCCTTGTCACGATCCTTGTCCTTGTCCTTGTCCTTTTCCTTGTCTCTGTCCTTGTCCCGCCCACGATCCCTGGAACGGGAGCGCTCCTTATCAGTGCTTTTGCCGCTGCCTCCGTTGGCAGAGGCGCCGACTGCGGCCGAGACTTCTCGGGACGCCGCCAACGAAAGTAAGTCCGGCGGCGTGTCGCTCATGCTTTCTTCACCACCTGCACACTAACAACTCACAGACTGTAGCCACGCGAAGTTAAATAGCTCCGAACACGCTTTAAAAAGTAAAAACCAATTTTTCAGTATGCGGCGTTGCGTGTGAAAATTTTTGTGGCAAGGAACGAAACGAAAATGGCGACGTGGTACAGTGTTGGAAAAGGCATGCCATTAGGGATGAGCAGCGGTAACTGTGATGTCTCGGCAAACGGTACTAATTAGTTCGGTACTAATTAGTTAATTAATTAAATTAATTTATTTAATGTATTAGCTATTTTATTTAAAAAACGCTTAAAATATAATAACTAATTTGGGCATCGAATATATGCAATTTAATTGGTTTCATTATAACATTTTCAAAATAAAGCCTCTTTCTTTATCTACGCCTTATATCGTTATTGTTAAATATTAGCTATTTTATTTAAAAAACGCTTAAAATGTAATAACTAATTTGGGCATCGAATATATGCAATTTAATTGGTTTCATTATAACATTTTCAAAATAAAGCCTCTTTCTTTATCTACGCCTTATATCGTTATTGTTAAAAGGACTTTTTTGAAACATCTCAGTGGTATAAAACATATCAAACTTTGATATCAATATTAATCGACAATATCTGCGCTTGCATTTACCTTGCATTTGTATTAATAAAATGTCCTTTTATATATATGTTTATATTCATAAACAGATAAATATGGTTATACAGTCATAGCACGACTTGAATCTGATCCCACTACCATTAGCCGTGACTATTCCCAGGATTAGTCAACACTGATTGCGGCTCTTTGTGACGCGCTAGTACGTTATTGGGTTGCACGTGTGAGGTGTTTTGTTTTGCTCCATGAACTCGGTGTAATTTATCCGTAAAACGCGATATAAAACAATGGTGGCCAAGGGAAAGAAGGCCAGCGCCGATGCCGTATACGCCAAAAAGACGATCAAGTCGTCCAATCCCTTCGACAACTCGACGGCCCAGTCGAGCAAGCGGGGCAATCCCTTCGATGTGCACGTGAACAAGGAGAAGTTCAAGATTCTGGGGAGGATCTGCAAGCATGACAGGGGAATGCCGGGCGTGTCGCGGGCCAAGGCCCTCCAAAAAAGAGCCCAAACATTAGGTCAGCAGTTCGCCGTGAAGCACAAGACCAATCGCTTCAAGGATAACCGAATTGGCAAGCACTTGAGTGGCGATCAGCTAACCGAGTCCGTGATGAATGCCCGCTACCTGGCCGAAAAAATGTCCCAGGTGCGATCCAACCAGAAAGCGGAGAAGTTCAACCTCAACGACGACGAACTACTGACGCACAGGGGACAAACTCTGGAAGAGATCGAACAGTATAGGGACGAGCGGTCCGACGACGAGGAGCTAGACGACGAGGCATTAGACGGTATGCGCAAATGTTTCTACCTTAAAACCCTCAACTAACTAACATATCCTTTCAGCGGACTTTACTGCTGCTGCTCATTTCGGCGGAGAGGGAGACTCTGCCCAAGATCGGCAGGCGGCCATCGACGAGATGATCGTTGAGCAAAAACGCCGAAAGAACGAAATCGCCAAAGAGAAGGACGAGGTGTATGATCTCACGGAGAAACTGGATGCCAACTATAAGCTCCTACTGCCGCTAGTGGCCAAAGCTACAAAGGATGAGCAGGACGCCAAGCCCCCGCCAGATGCCTACGACAAACTGCTGAAGGAGATGATTTTCGAGCCGCGCGGCAGTGTTGCGGATAAACTAATCAATCCCGACGAGCTGGCCAAGCAGGAGGCCGCCCGTCTGGAGAAGCTCGAGAACGAGCGGCTACGTCGAATGCGAGCAGATGGTGAGGAAGATGAGGAGGCCTCCATTGCCAAGCCCAAGCACCGATCTGCAGATGACCTGGACGATGGCTATTTCTTGGCTGGCGAAGATGACGAGGGAGATGATACACTCGCTTACGATTTGGACGGCAATCTTGGCACGCATCTTAATGGAAAGAAGGAGCCTAAGGCGAAAGAAAACGAAAATGAAGACGATGGAGAGGAAGGGGATGAGGAGGAAGATGAGGACTCGGATGAGGAGAGCGATTCAGAGATCGACAATCTGAGCGATCTTAAGGAATCTGAAAGTGAGTCCGAGCAAGAAGAAGCTCCTAAGGCTAGCAAAATGAAAGCGAAAAAGTCAGCGAACACAATTCCCGCCTCCTTGGACACGAGTATACCGTTTACCATCAAGATGCCCAAGACCTACGAGGACTTCACGCAGCTCCTCTCCAAGCATGCTACTGTACAGAAGGCGATCATTATCGAAAGAATCATAAAATGCAATCATCCCAAACTGGAAGGTGTTAATCGTGAGAACGTGGTCAAGTTGTACTCATTTCTGCTGCAATATCTGAAGGATTTGTTTGAGGATGCCAACGAGCAAGACATACGCGAACACTTCCAATTGCTATCAAAGCTCATGCCCCACTTATATGAATTAACGCAACTGAATCCAGAACGCATGTCCAATACATTACTGGAGGTGATCAAAGAGAAGTACGGAGAGTTCAGGAAAAATCACAAGATGTATGCTTCACTAGAGACTTTGGTGTACTTCAAACTAGTGGCCAACTTGTACTCGACTTCCGATTTCCGCCATCCGGTGGTCACTCCATGCTTCATTTTCATGCAACACATCCTGTCCAGATCACGGGTGCGGACGCGACAGGAAATATCTATGGGCTTGTTCCTGGTCACCGTAGTCTTAGAGTTCGTGTCCCAATCCAAGAGACTGGTTCCAGCCGTCTTCAATTTCCTGCAGGGTATTGTACACATGTCCATACCCAAGAGGGATGTGGAACAGTTGGAGATCACGCCGCCCTTTGAGCGCGATGGTCCATTGAGCAAGCTGCTGGCACTCCCAGCTAACACGGAGTGCACGAAGTTGGAGCCCCAACAACTGCAGCCTGTGGATTTGGTCACCCAGACGATCACTCCAGATTTCAAAGTGCGAGCACTGGATACATCTCTCCTGCTAATCAAGGAAGCTCTCCAGTTGGTGGAAGAGCATGTGGGTGCCTGCTACCTGGCTCAACCCTTCCTGAGATTACTCTCCCGCCTTCCACTGAAGTCCTACCCAGATCATGTGCATCTGCACCACAAGGAAGCCACCGAACTGGCGGAGAAGCTGGCTGCGCAGAAAATGAAACCTCTGGCTCCAGCGGCAAAGAAGCCCAAGGCTCTTAGGCTGCTGGAACCCCGATTCGAGGCGGTGTACGATGACAAACGGCGCCCCAAGATGTCCAAGGCCAAGGAAGAGCGGGCCAAGCTGCTGCACAAGATCAAGCGCGAGAAGAAGGGTGCCATTCGAGAAATTCGCCGAGATACCGCCTTCGTCCAGGAGCTTAAGCTCAAACAGACCCTGCAAAGGTTTGTGTTCATCATTTGGTGGACAACCGCTCTTTTCTAAACTATGGCTCTTATTTTTACAGTGACAAGGAGCGCCACGAGAAGGTTAAGCGCATTTACCAGGAGGCCTCCGTGCAACAGGGCGAGCTCAATGAGCTGGCCCGGGCCAAAAAGAAGAAGAAGTTCTAGGCTTGATTTTGAATTAGTTATTTTTAGCTAGACTATAAACAAGCTGAGAGTAAACAATATAGCAGTGTTGCCTATATTTTAGTATCACATAATCAACCTTCAAAATTTGTATAGTCATGCAAATCCACTAACCAACATTATGCACAGGGTGGTCGATTTGAAATATTTCATAATTTTTTGTAAAAAATCCCTTAACATTCTTGTACTTTGGAAGAATTAGAGAAACAAAATACGTTACCAAGATCTAGACAGGCTGCTGCATATAGGAAACATTTAAAGACCTATAGCTACTATTAGTTTATTAACAAAATTGACCCACCCCAATGTACGTATGTGTATAAGCCTATGTGCCTAAGCCGTCTTTCCCGAGATTTGCCGGCACCGCAGCGTCGCCTGTTCCACCGCTCCGGACACAGCTGCCCGAAAACCTGCAATCGACACCAAAGGTTGAATTGGAGGCGATAAGCTAGCGCGTCATCGGCGTCATCATGACATCTTACCTGACAGCTCAAGTTGTCTGAGCGCCGCAGCTGTCGATCCCGCCGGGCTTGTGACGCCATCCTTGAGTTGCCCGGGATGCATACCACTATCCCGCACCATGTGACCTGCGCCCAGGACTGTTTGGGATGCCAGGCGATAGGCCAGATCCCTGGGCATTCCCATGTGAACGGCACCATCCGCCAAGGCCTCAATCATCACGAACACGTAGGCCGGTCCACTTCCGCTCAGAGCAGTAACCACATCCAACTGGGACTCATCCACCGGCTCACAAGTGCCCACGGACTGCAGCAGTTTCTGCGTGATCTCCGCATCTGCATCGGTGGCCTTGGATCCACGAACAAAAACAGAGCAGCCAGAACACACCACTGCTGGCAGATTCGGCATCACACGGATCACACGAGCCTGTGGAGATAAACTGGTCTCGATGGTGGACAGAGTGATGCCCATGGCCACGGAAAGGAATAGCTTGCCGGAGCTCAGTGGCTGGATCTCCGACAAAACCGAGGGAACCACTTGGGGTTTCACGGACACGAAGACCACATCCGATTGCTGCACAACGGGTGCATTCTTGACCACTGTTTCCACGCCTAGGGATTGGAAGGACTGCAGCGAGAGCTTATCTGCCGGATGAACGCTGGCTATCAGGGTATTGGGTTTGGCCAGGCCTAGGAATTTAAGTAGGAAATTTGGCGGTTCAATGATGAAATTTTAGTGCAACATATACTACGTATTGAATATCCAATGTGTCTTATCTTTGTCTCGCAGAAACTGTGTCAGACTGCAAAGGTATGAGTGGATCCATAAACTTTCTCACCTGCGGCTAGGAAACCCTTAGCCAAGGCCTTGGCCATATTCCCGCCTCCCAGGAACCCGATCTTTCCGATTGCCGACATTATTTAATGGGGTAATTACGCGGACTGCGAGTACTGCACTTTCCGCTGGTGGAACGGCAACTGTGTGCCCGCCGCCGGCGATGACCAAAAACAGACGGGAGGATTGATAAGAACTCTGGCTCGGCCAACCCCCCTCCGAATCCCATGCGATGTGTGAACAACAAACCCAGCTATCTGTGCTTATCAGGGAGGTTCCTATGTGTGGGTTTAGCGATCGGGAGCGGGTCAGAATAATAATAAATACTGAGAACTTTTCACACATTTTAAATATAGAAAGCATTAGGCTATTAAAAATAGTGTTTTACAACCGAATTATATTGGAATTAAAACAGTAATTAAAATTCACCGTAGGTACTAAGTTTTTCACAAATGCATAAATTACAACCGAACATTTGAAGTGAAGCTTGAAGCTTCAAGACTTGAGTTTATATAAAAGACTATCTAATTTCTATTTTAAAATATAGTTTATATATTGCTGATATTTTTGCCGCCATTTTATGTCCTTATCAGTTGGCACAACTGCTATTCACAACTCATTCACCCATTAATCGGCGTGACGAAGTCCAAATTAACGTCATCATTATGCCGATGCCCTGTAATCCCAGTAATCGTCCGCTGATCCACTTTCGTATTTTGGTTTCCCATAAAAACAAGCTTGTTTTACTGTTTGGCAATGCTTGCTTACCAAGCTGCAAAAACATTCCGCACTTTAAAAGATAACGATCGTTATCAATGTGAGTGCGATAACAGCAGAGGCGAAACATGTATATTTATAAAGGGCTACTATAGAGAATTGAGAATGTCTACTGGAAATTTAGCTTATACTTAACCTGACAACCAAAAAAGTTACTAATTTACTTTACAAAATATTGCCATAGGGATTCTGAGATCCCATACCCAGATTCGTTGAAAAGTATGTCACCTGTTAAGTCCACCTGTTGTTTTCGACCCTATAAGTACCCCAAGCTACCTCGCACTGGAACATGCTGAGTGATGGGTATCTGTTAGTCGCGAAACTAGACTAAAGTTAAGAGCGTAAGCGTCAGCTCCCAGGGGGTCCATGGTGCGATATCCGGGCTCCAGGATGCTATATCTGTAACTCTTTCGCGCTTCACTATGCGAGTGATCTTTTTGTTTCACCTTTTTTCAAAGAATTGTTTAAATTTGAAAAGTTGTTAATTAGCGGATACATCCACCACTCCGATCTAATTTTAATTTTTATTGAATTTTCTCACCACGTGGTGAGGAAGACACCTTAATCTCTGGTAACACTGAATTGGGATGAAACTAGTTTCCGCATATGGTACCACTAACATCTTCATGCCAAAATAAAAGAGTAAATTGCAATATTGCCAGCGCCAGAATCCGAATAAGTAACCTCACAAGTGATTAATGCGGATTAGGCGATTCCACTGCAGCAGAGTAAGCCCGTGGCAACATTAAATACACCAAAGTCCAGCCCCAGTTGTGCACCGCACGTGTGTGTGTGTGTGCTTGTGCGGGTGTTGGGTTGCGTGCGCCTGTGTGTGTGCGTTGTTTTCTCACACAATTTCACTGCAATTTAAAAAAATCAACAAAAGCGCAGTAACAGCAGCAACAACAATTAGGAAACGCACTTGTTACCGAGGTTGGGTGCCTGTACTAGAAAAGCAAACAATAAACAATCGAGCTGGCGAGACTGGAAGCCATCGCATGATAAACAAACCGAGCAAGAACCTTCGACAGCTCCGAAATTCTGGAGGACGGTACGTATTGATATTTATGCGGCCAGATACGAGCCTAATTGATTTGCAAATTATTCCACAGGGCCACGTCGCTATCTTATCTGATACACCGAGAGAAAACCCAGTAGGCCAGTCGCGTTCGATCGTCGTCCACAGCTCAGACTCCTCGTTTCGATTTTCCAACTCGGGCACTAGTACTTTAGTTCGTTAAAAATTAGCCAAACCAAAACAACACCATGTCCTCGTCGTCGGCGTCCGGCGGCCGGAAGCAACCCACTGCCGTGTCGCGCATGAAGCAGGACTATATGCGCCTCAAGCGGGATCCACTGCCGTACATCACCGCCGAGCCGCTGCCCAACAACATTCTCGAGTGGCACTACTGCGTCAAGGGACCGGAGGACTCGCCTTACTACGGCGGCTACTATCATGGCACACTGCTCTTTCCGCGCGAGTTCCCATTCAAGCCGCCATCCATCTACATGCTGACGCCGAACGGGCGCTTCAAGACCAACACCAGACTGTGCTTGAGCATATCAGGTGAGTGGGAAGCCCCGGCAGTTCCTTATCAATTGGGAATCGAATCCGTCTTAAGAAAACTGGAAGTAACCACAGCTAGAAATAAAGCAGAATGGTTGTCACGGTTGTAGTGCATTACAAAAGGGAAATCTCACATTAAAAGCAACTTCAGGCTTAAAAAGACCATTATATTATCCCAAATTGTCTATGTAACATAACATTATTAATGTGTATTGTAATACGAATATTTAAGACTTGCAAACGTAAACACCATACTTATTCTCACTATTTGACTTTCAGATTTTCATCCGGACACTTGGAACCCCACTTGGTGCGTGGGCACCATTCTCACTGGTCTGCTGAGCTTCATGGTGAGTTTTTGCGAATACTTGACCATGCATTTGAATAAACCAATCTGAAATACTGCACAGCTGGAGAGCACGCCCACACTTGGGTCCATCGTGTCATCGAACTACGACAAGCAAATGTTTGCTCAAAAATCGCTAGCATTTAACCTGCGCAATACCAATTTTTGTGAGCTGTTTCCGGAGATCGTCGACGAGATCAAACAGCGGCTGCAGGGAACACAGGCGGCAGCTGCTTTGTGCGGAACCCCTGCAAACGGAGTGAAGCGTTCCAACGGACTGGCCAACGGAGCGACCCCGGCAAATGCGGATGGCAATCTGGCGGCGGGAGGTTCGGCCAATCCACAGAATGAAGCGGACGCAATCGATGGCGGGGCGGCGGGTCAGGCGGACTCGGCAAGCGGCGGGGCAGCGGCGGTGCAGAATAGTGCACGGAACTCCTATCTCAATTGGCAGTCCGTCTATTCAAACCTGGTGATCATTATCTGCTTTGCAATTTTTGCCCTCATTGTTAATTACGTGATCAAGAACCTAAATCAGGAATAGAATTACCGACACAGCCTCTATATTTATATACAAATATAGTTACACATCCGTATGCGTGTGCATATTTAATCTAGTTTACTCTTAATAGTCTTCGTGGATTCTATGCCGCATGAGAAGTATTTACAGACCCCGCTTGATCCAAAAACTACCGCACCAGACCCCTGGCATCCATTCCCACGATTCCCACGATTGCTGACTTAGTCTGAAATTATCGGCATTAAATATTAGAAACACAAGAACACACATTTCTGAACTCGATTTGTGAAATTTATAAATTGTTTTGTTATGTATTCATTACTATTAACGCCTAGTTTAATGCTACGTGAATAAAGCCAGAAATATGTTTGTAAATGAATAAAGAAGAACAGCAACATTTGAGCTCGTGTACAAATTAGCCAACTTACATGTGCGTTTCCTGCTTATAACATGGATCTTCATTTTCAGCCGCCACAAATTGCCTGGTGTTGATTCAACTTCTATAATAAGTTGTAATTTGTAGTTGGCTTTTCGCTGGCTAAGCGGCTTAAGTGTGAAGCAAAGTCCGCTGGCAGTCGACTATAATTTTTCCTCACACTTGGTGAGCATGGCCAAATCCAATAAACTGATGCCTGGGTGGCCAACAATGTTTCACATTTAAACCGCTTACATTGTTGGCCGTCTTAAGCCGAAATTACACACATGACGCTTATTACTGTAGTGGGTAGTGGGCGTTGCGGACCAAGTTCTTTGGTTTCAGTGAATTATTGTTCCAACAACAAGTCCTGCAAGAAAAACTACCCAGAGAAATAATACCACGATTTATTCAAAACTCGGAAAAATGCACTTTTCATTTTTATAGGCTGTATCCGTTTAGTAGATATATTTTGTGGATTACAATAAAATTTGAACTTTTATTTTCTGTACAACAACAAATTTGTATAGTGTGGAGGTGGAGTCTTGAATTATTAGAAATTTCATGAAAGGAAAATTCGATTATGCAGCAGCCGCGCAAACTCCTTTAAAATAAAAGGACACGGCGACGACTTTGTTTTGCACAGAAAGCTTTTTTCGCCAGACGCTGAAGTTGATAATTTAACTAACGTAAATTTCAAGTTCAGGCAGCATGGCAAAGTTTTCGACTGCGGCTGGCACTCGCAACTTTTCAAATTCGGTTGTTTGTTTTATGAACTTGCAACAGTTTAAGCCAATTTCGGCTGCACAGAGGGAGAAAACCAGCAGAAGACACACAACATTAAATGATATCCCGGATGGCCAGGATAACCGAGACATTTCTGCTCCTGTCATCGAGTATTTTTATGCGGGGTGCCGATGGGCGGGGATTTCGAAATCGCTTGTGCTTTTTGCTCGAAATTTATTTTGAGTACCCACCAGTATGGCGACTGGAGTCCAAGTCCAAACTGTCTCCTGCACTTCCGCTTTATCCTTTTGATGCTCGGGCGGATGTGCAATTTTTGCTCATTTGTTCTTGGCATTTATAAGCTTCAGCAGCCCGAAAAGAGGTCACTGGTGTCGGAGCCCCAAGGAGTTCATTGTTCGCCGTCGAGCTCAAATCCCCAAAATGTGCCAGGCTTAAATGTCCAACAAATAGCTGCAGGACATTAGTTGACGGCAATGAATGTCGATGCTCCCGGGCTAAGCGGCTTATCCACAGCAAATATAAATATGCGCGGGTAAGCTTCTGAAAACAAAACATAAATGGAGTGGTCAAAGGCTATTCGATGCGATGGCCACAATGGGAAGTCGGCCCACTGGGCTATAAAAGTAATGGCCAAAACAAACGCGAGTGCCCACGGCCAAGACGACCGGCCAGATAAATAAATGTAAATAAATAAAAACAACAAATGCCATAATCATTAAGTACGCCTCATTGGCAGACATGTGCCCCGAAGTTTCCTGGCCATCTGGAACTGCCTTTATGCGTTCGGCTCTGCACCGAAGAAAAAGCATACATATAAGAACAAAAAACTGAGCAATTCCTACGGAGATTCCATAAATGCATATAATAAATCTAAACAAAATTATATTTGTATTTAATGTGTGTTATCTTTTTAGGGGATATTTATAAAAAGAAATCATTACTTGTTGAAATGTAGTTAGATAAATATAAATGTAGATTTATATTTCAGTTAAAATATATTTGAAAATAAGATTTAGATTCTTTCTACAAAAAAAACTTAAATGAAGGCACTAAGCTGTAACACTTCTCCTGGAGTATAAAATGTTCATAAGTTAAAAAGTTATTAAT